GTTTTTCTGGGGGGGTTGGGGGGGGGGGGGCTCGTCTTTTCAGAGTTGGGTTATGAGGGTGTCTGGTCGGCAGGTCATCATAGTTTTTCCCTTCCTCGTATCGTTACTTTTGTGTTTTTCTTGGCCCATGAAGGAGACAGTTAAATATTGCGAGCAAGGGACGGGGAGGGAAAATAGAGAAGAGGCAAGAGCAGGTTGACGGAGGGCATGTAAATATTTGGAAGGAGATCGGAGATGCGAAATGGCTGTTTTGTCCCGTTCCTCCAACGGGCGGGCTTTCCTGGGTTTCCTTTGGTCCGAAGTTCCGCCGCATTTCGAGACCGAAAAGCGGCGGAATCTCCGAACCAGGCCAGGCGGTAATAGGTAGGAGGTTTGAGAAGTGTTTCGTGTTTTTCGAGCGGCCGGTCAGGGTGAAATAGTAAATCCAGTTGAGGGGTGCTTGTTTTTTGTGTTTTTTTCGGTGGGGGGGGGGTTGGAGCTGGACGTTCAGCGATAGAGGGGGGAGTGGTTGTCGGGGTTAAGGCTACATGCCTTGCTCGAGTTCTTGGTGGGGTTGTTTGGTGTTCCTTCTCTCATGTTTTTTTTTTTTTTTGGAGTACCTGTACAAGGCGCGCGCTACGAAAACGATCGAGAATCTGTCCCTTTTATATTCAGCCCAGTTCGGGTGACAGATGTCTTTGAGCGCGGTAGCGGTGGGGGGAGGAGGGTTTCGCACGTGTCATATGAACAGATGCCGCGCGGTTGCTTTCTACCATTTTCCCTTTTTTTTTATGATCCGCGCGGTGTTGGTGGTGGGGCGCAGATTGTTGGCTTGAATATTATGCATTAGTTGTCTCGGGCCTGACGCTTCGCCCTACGAAAGGCTCATGGCCTGCTGTTTCGAACGGGTTGAAAACGGGGGTTCGGTGCGCTGTTGACAGACAGGCAGGCAGGCAGGCAGGCAGGGAGGCCGGCAGGCATGGCGTGCGGAGTAACACTTTTAGATGGTTTTTAGGTGCACGTTTTGGTTGTCTCGTCGGTGTTGGTGTTGTTGTTCGTCACGTAATGCTGCTGGTGAAATGAAGCGTGTGTGGATCATTCGTCTTATGTATTTTTTGTTTTTCGCTCTAGATGGGGGATCGAACCGATATCGCCTGTTTGTGAGCGTTTTCATTTGTATGAGAGATCAGGGCGGGGGGGGGCTGTAGCGCCATTTCACCCGGTTTGATCGCAGAAGTAGCACGCGCAATATTTTATGAGCTGTTGACAAGGGCCATGCAGCAGCTTGGTATATTATTTTTTTTTTATTGTTTTCAAGGACAACTGTTGTGTGTTTGCCTTGTTGAGTTCCCTCCTTTCTGGATGGAAGGCACGGACTGGTGGCTTTCCAAGGACGCCATCTTGCAGCATTTGCAGCAGGACACTTTTCGGGAGCGAGCAGAACGAGGAGTAGAAGCAAAGCCCTCTGTTGGCGTAGATCCGAACTACTCTACGTTTAGGTTTTGGAAGGTATTTCATTGACTGATTGTACGCGTTACAATAAAAAGTCGACGGTTTGCAAGCACCTGTAGAAGGTGCGAGAAAAGTCGGCGGTTTGCAAGCACCTGTGGAAGGTGCGTCTTACCCCTCGAGTACTACCCGACCCCCCCCCCCCCCCCCAATATAAAAAGCCCAAATGGGGGCCCCCTCCCGGGTATTGTTGTGTCCTCCGGGGAGTTTTACTGGGCCGGGGGCTTGGAAGGGGAAGGGCTGGACTTTTCTTTTTTTAGAAAAAAAAAAGGGGGGAGGATTTTTTTTTTTTTTTTTTTCTGCGGGGGGGAGGCTTGGCCGGGGACTCCGGGGTATTCCGGGGAAAGGGGGGGGGTAGGGGTTTTGGGCCGGGAGGGGAAGGGGGGGATCCCCCACGGGGATGTTAAAAAAAAGGAAGGAGGGGATGGGGGGAACTGAAGTACCCCCCCCCCCCCCCCCCCCCCCCCCAAAAA